TTCTTTTTGCCGGAGTTCCTGAAACAGACAGAAAATGATAGCACGCTTTCGAAACGACGATGTCCATCTTTTCTACCGAAAGAAACCGCAACTCTTCGTAGTCTCGTATGAGAAACGACGATCGAGATCGCCGGGAAATTAATTAAACACATGAGAACCCGACGTTAGCGTGCACGTATATCGCGCCGCCGTTTTATCCGGGGCTGCGAGTGCTCGCGAAGATTTTAAGCGAATGCATCGGGTCCATCTGCGCCGACACGCTCGCCGCCACTTGCCGCTCGTTCGGCGCGCGTTAAACGCTAGGATCGATGGGCCGTCGCGCTGTAATTGCATAGAAACACGGTTCCCCGCTTTTTTCCCTCTCGCCGGCGCGTTTCCCGCGTTTCGGGAAGTTACTCGAACGCCTCGTTTCGAACAGCTCCGCGTCGCAGGCGACCTTTTAATATTCATCGGCACGTATAATCGCCGTCCGGCACAATCGGTTCCCAGCAATGATGCATTCAGCGGGCGAGTTTCATCGGCTTCGTTCACAAATCGAGATTATTGTTTATTTGCGCTGGTTTCTTCGAGAATCGATCACGATGAATACGATTATAATTCGATTTGCAAGTCGCAACTTCCGGAGAATCGCATTGCATCGCGATGAAATGAATTTCTTGAAGAAACGAGAAACAGATCGGTAATGAAACGAGAAACGGAAAGGGATAACGGTGAATAAGACAATTGTGCGCATCGGTCACGGATAAAAACAAACAAACAGCCTTACCCGTCGTCCGTTGTCAATCGGACGATGCAACCGCGGCGGCGATTACGCGATTATCTTGCGCATCGAGGCGAGCGAAACTCAGACGGACCGTTTCGTCGCGGCAAGGACGATGCGTCGCCGCGCGGTAAACTTTCAAATTCGAGATTGGAATTTCAAATATCCGCCTATTTAGCGACATTAAAAATATCCGAGGCCCGAGTGACTCACGCCGTTCACGGCCGGGAACCACTTCTCGTCTCGCCTCGCCGTTCCGAGCCGCGAAATTGTAATCGGCGTCGTGAAAACGAAATAATGAATTACAGCCGTGCCACTTAAAAATTCACCGTTCGTCAATTGCAGTCGTTCAACTTCTCTCGGCACAGTGCCTGTGAACGCCAGTTTTCCGAACTCGATAACTTCGGAAGTACGAGTGGCACAGACGAAAGTTGTAGAGCTGAACATTCGGCGGTTAGATTTTTGTTTGCGTTACGGGGATATCGTGAAGTTTCTTCGATGACAATGCACGTTACGCGTTTCGATTCCAGCGTTAGGCAAACAGAGAACTGTGCGCCGTCTGTGGTTTTCGTGTCGACAATTTTCTCGTCCCGAATAGGATGAAAGGCAAGTGTCCGTAAATGTAAATACGCGACCGGTTAAATGACCGGTTTTAAAATTCGCTGAAAGATCCTGTGTTCTGCGTCCATTTCACTGCACAACAGTTCTTATATTTGTCTTTCCCTCTGTTCTGTTCTCGCTAAGAGAAACGTCCCCTTTATTTGTTTACTTTTGTTTGATAAACAGTTATTTGAACGGTGGGAATAGGTACGTTCAGTATAGGTGCGTTTATCGGTGAACTCCCGAATCGATCGATCGGCGTTCCGCTCGTCCCGATCGCGAGAGGAAAGATAACCCACGCACCGGTCTTTTCGGTGTTTTCGGTGAGCAGCTCGCGCGATTAGTTTCTTTCGTACTTATCGAAGTGTGGCGGTGAATTTTCTCCTCTTTCTTGTGCAATCGATAATCCGATTTCACGCGTCGGTTCCCCGTTGGCGAAGCTGGGTCATCGATTAATTAATATTATTACTTTCGAGCCCCCTTGTTTAATAACGAGTCGGTCCTCCGGTGATTCGTTTCGCGCTGAATTCAACGTATCGGGGAACGGACAGCTTCGGTTAACCAATTGCCGTCCAGCAGCTCGGCTGGTCAACGTTCTCGCGTGAAATATTCCCGAGGGAAGCAATCTTCGAGGGAAAACTATTTCTGGAACTATCGCTCGAATGTTTTTCTCCCTTTCATTTTTAAATTGACGCTCGTATCACGAGTGTCGCCTACAATGGAATAATGAATCAGTTTAGATTGGACGAGGACTATAAGTAAACTGTCGGGTACAATAGATTGTCACGTAACGAACGACTGCATTAACTTGTTTTATAAATATTGTCATGGAGATTGAGATCCGACCTTTTTAACTGATTCTAATTTTACCCAATCCATAGATGGATGTCATTGCCAATTGTACTGCTAACAACGATTCTCAGCACTGTACAGTGGTTGTTTATCAAAGTGAAACCTTGCTTCGTTCATCCAAAACTTGAGATGATTTTCAACGAACTCTCAAGATTTCCGCTGATATCTCGAACGAAGTATTCCATTGAAATTGGTTCGGCCGGTTACTTTCGATAAGTTGGTCGCGCTGCCCGCTCGAATTGGAATATTCCACGTTCTCCCTTCATTTCCGTTTTGTTTTTAACGAGCAGCTTCGAATATCTCGGTATCGGAATAATTATCCCGTGCTCCATTCGTTCTACCAGCCGCCGCCATGGTCGCGCGTTGGCCATTGTTCTCCGGCCGGAGTCGATGCTCCTAATGACGCCATTGTCGCGGCGAACAGTGCCGAAGAAAGTAAACAACGGAAGGAGATCAGCCTGAAATGCATTGCCGCTCGAAGTTTCAAGTGTCCGCGTTTCGCGGCGTTGGCAATTTTTTAGCAGGCTGGCATGGGGAACATTCCGGCGGGCTCTTAACTTATTCGTCGCACACCTCGCGTGCTCTTTATTCGGGACGAACGAACGATAAACGCGAGAATCCTACGAGTTATCCGATATACTCCGATTATCATGGGTTTTTTCCGAATTTACAGTCAGTTTAAGCTTCTAATTACCACGAGTTGCTTGTCTGTTGACACTAAAACTACCAGACGGTTGAAAATGACCGATTACAAGATCCTTATTTCGCCATTATTACGATAACGGTGCTTTCGCAAGAAATTTCAAATAAATTCCTGCGTTTGTGCAAGTGCAGCAGGAAGCTCTTCGAATCTCGAAATATCTGCTTTCCCAATTTTCTAACAAATTATAAGTATTCTTCTTAAAGTTTGATTAAGTCTGTGATCTATTATTTCTCTATTTTTCTCGCTGCTCTCATTCCCTAATGAGTGTTCAACCTTAACCTCGATGTACTTTGCGAATCGGTTCGTAAAAGAGTCGTCTCATTCATTCCTCCCGTGTCTGTTACAACTCGAAGAAATTAGTGAGTCGTATATAGTCCACGGATAGACCGTCCCCACTCTGCTAGACACATCATCCATTTTTTCCCAATACGTGCCAAACCGTTCAGTCGTCTGTTAAAGAGAGTGTCGCGTTGCTTTGCTCTTCGCCTAAGAATAATCGCGCTGCAAAGAGGTTAACGAACCGGGAAGGTTGTACCTTATTGTCGCGTAATCACAGGAATATCGTCGCTACCTCGTGCCGCGACAGCGATGCGTAAAATCGTGGAAAAAAAGGAAACGGTAAAAAGAAACACGAGAAAACGATCTAGGCTGAGCTCTTGCCTACGGACGAGCCCGATCGTTTCAAAAGAACTAGCAAAAATAAAACAACCAATCAACTTCTACACAAGTGTCACTAGAATTCGAAGAAAATTTACAAGTCAGTCATTAGCCTGTAAACGGTTCATTCAAGGAAACAACCTTCTTGACCCCCTAAAACATACTTAAATATCCATACTACTACTATAGAAAAACTATAATATTAAATCATTTGATTGAATTGCATTATTATTGCAGGTTCATCTAGCTGAATGTCACCACATTAGTTAGCATTATTTATAATATAGAAATGTTTCCAAATAATCATGATTTTATTGAGTCAACTATAGTAATTCGATTTGGTTGGGGGTCACCGGTGACCCCCATGGCATTCAATGTATTACAGTATCATATCCATCTCTTATCAAAATTAGAGTACCTTATTCCTCGAAAAGTGCAGCACCTGCCATTATTCGTACAGATAAACGAAGCGAGCTTACAATTTCCCACAAGACCCTCGCGATTACACCACCGGTGAAATGCAAATCTCGAAACAGTCGATTTCAGTGTCTACCCCTGAAGTGTCCCAATCGATCATGTCGAACTTTAACCCGCGATACTCTTTAACCGCGCTCACCTTTCGCGTTCCGGTTAGCGATCGCCGTCTGCCGGTGATCCGATAATTAAACCGCGGTTCGAACACGATCACCGCGACAAGGACAAGGGGCGCGGGCGGCGAAGTTTAATTAGCGAGTAACCGTGGATGAAGTGGCCGGCCTCGCTCGCGGGTTCGCTCGCTCGGCAGAGTGAATTTTCGCGAGGTGATACGCCGCCGCGCCGGGATTTCCATCTCGGCTCGCGGAATCTTTCATTTGCGGGGGCCGGCTAGACTTTAATGCGGCTTTCGAAACGGAGCCGCCGCCGCCGTCGTCGTTGCCCCTTCTAATTTCGAGATAACCCCCTCGATTGCGCGCGGTTTCCTAACGACCCGCCATTGAACGCGATATTAATCAGCCCCGCCGCGGATCCGACGGATTCACCCGGCCTCCTACTGGTTCTCACGGACTGATAGACGAGAACGGAAGAATTTAGGCTACGCGTCACCCACCCTTTTTTTTCTTTTTCTTTTTCCTCTCTAGCGGAGTAATTTAAAAAATCGTAATTCGTCTCATTCTTTTCGAGAACACGAAATTTCGAGGGAAGACACACCGAGGGGATCTTCTGGTCCCATTTCTCCCCTGTTTTCCCTTTTGTTCCTTTTAGCTTGTCTTTTAAGCGAACCACCCTCTAGCCTCTGGTCTCGAGAAACGAGAAATCTGCTAGCCGGAAGACACCGAACGAATC